GGGAAGTTTGAGATGGGGTTTGAATAGGTAGCATTTAATAGATGGTATGGTTTGAGTTTGAAATATTACCCAGACATGTGGTTTGACCACTTGGTCACCATTTGATGGTGTTATTTGAGAGGTTGTTGAAACTTTCACAAGTGCTACCTGGCTAGAGGAAATAGGAATACGTATCTTGGGCTATTTCAGTGCCCTCCTGAAAGATCTCTCTGCTTCCTATTTCCCATGATGCAAGCAGTTCTCTCGTCACAAGATTCCACTGCCATGACTTTTTTGGCCAAGTGCATGCGGCCAACCAACATTTGGACTTAATCCTCTGAAACTGTGAACCTAACTTAGGCGGTTCCAATATGTAAAGTGGGAGGCAGAAACAAGACCATGTGGCTTGAAGGGACAGTTATATGACAGGCATTAACAGCAGTAAGGAAGGATTTATTGTGGCTCATGTTTTTGGGGGGTTTTAGTCCATTACGGAAGGGAAGACATGATGGAGTGGCTCCATGGTGATAGCGAGTATGCCTAGGAGACATGACAGGGAGGAGCCAGCCACCGTGTGCCCCAAGGACCCAGCCACAGTGACCCTGCTCCTCCAGTGAGGCTCCACTTCGTAAAGGCTCACAACTTCCTGAACAGCACCACCAGCTGGGAGATGGGTGTTCACAACACAAGCTTGCAGGGATGGAGGCTATTTTACCATCCCACCTTCACAGTCCTCATCTGAGTTTTTCTGATGATGTCTCAGGAAACTGCGTAAGTAACTCAGATTATTTATTCTTATTTTTCTAGCCAGTGAAAATTATCAGAAGTCTTATAAAATTCAGGTTGACCCAATAAAGACATGGAAAGCTGAGGGCAGGCTACTCGATTACATGCAGGGCAGGTCCTCCCTTCCAAATGACAGAGATGGTCAGAGAAAGGCATCAAACAGCTCTTAAAAAGTTATCCCAGCCACGAGGCTAGAGAGATGGCTAAGCAGGTAAGCCTGCCTGCCGTTCTTCCAGAGGACAAGAGTTCAGTTCCCAGGACTTATATCAAGCTGCTCACAACAACCTGTAAGTTCTGCTCCAGGGATCTTTGCAGGCACCTGCACATGTCACACACACACACACACACACACACACACACACACACACACACACACAATCTCTCTCTCTCTCTCTCAAAAAAATATATCCTAGCCTGTTTTACAGAAGTGTCATCCCACACATCTGTATAAAAGAGAAACACAGACTCTAGTCAGCAGATTATGGGTTTAGTAGTTCTGTGACACAGTAAATTAATCTAGGGATAAGAACAAAAGATAAGAATTTAAGAAAATTCTAGAGAACAGCTTCAAAAAACAAGTAGTACATGGTCATATACATTTAAAACCCAACTGGTACATTCTTAGGTATATATTTATGCTAGTATCATATCAAGGAAAACATAAAAATACTAGGGAGAATTATGGAAAGCCATTTCTATTGTATTTAATTTTATTGTGAATAAGACAGTCATTTCAGATTAAGACTGTACACCTTTCAGTAGAGCATGGGACCCCAAGAGGGGAAATCAAGTCTTTGTTTTAAATTCCCAGTGCTTAGTTCAGCCTAAAGATTAGGTAAGAATCTCAGCAAATATTTTGGGATGCACAGGCGACCAGAGAAGGCTGTGTGCAGGGCTTTCCTTACCCTTTGCTTCCAGATAGCTTCAGAAATAAAAAGTGAGCCATGCACAGTGGTGCACGCCTTTAATCCTAGCACTCGGGAGGTGGAAGGAAACATATCTCTGTGAGATAGAGGGCAGCCTGGTCTACATAGTGAGTTCCAGGTAAGCTGGGGCTAGAGGGAGACCGTTTCCTCAAACCCCCAAAGAATAAAACACAAATAAAATCTGCCCTTAATTCTGAGATCTGCAGTAACTTTCAGAAACACAGGGCATGACAATTCCTGCTGGCCAGTGGCAAGCACACCGAGGGGGTGCTATTGGTCTAGCTGGAGCCATGGTGTTCAGATGGTCAAGGTTTTCAGAAGAGAACACTAGCCAAGAGGGCTGATGGATGAGGCACAAGGTGGCGCTGGCAGCCCCATAACGGTTGTTGAGAACCAGATACATACCTCACCGTTGGGTTTGCATAGGATGGTTGTGCAGTCTGGACTCCACCGGAATCTGCTCTGCTCTTCCCAAAGTCTGTTGGTGGCTGTGGCTTCACATCTGAGGCTGTAGCCCACACCTTTGAAAAAGCAATTGCTGTTGGCAAACACCACTGGGGGTCAACATGGGTTTATGAATGTCATAATGTTATTGCGATTCATCTTTCTGAACAGATGGGGGTTCAGTGTCATTAAAGAGGGTTGGGGAGGGTCTCACTGTATTTACCTGAGCTGGGCTTGAATTCTTGGGTTCATGTGATCCTTCTGCCTTTGCCTCCTGAGTACCTGGCACTATAAAGGTATATGTGCTCCTAAGCCTGGCTTCAGATGACCTTTTAAACTATACTGTAACATCAAACGGACTGAACATGGTTTAAACAGCTGTCCAACCTAGTCTGTGGGCTGCAGGTGATTGAGAATAGCTTTGGTTACAGCCAACTCCAAATCATAACCTACTTAAAACATGATAGTTTTTAAAAACTTTATTACATTGTTCTTGAATGTGAACTTTGTAGATGATAAAGTCTTGTCTCAACATTACCCAAAATAAATCTGTTTGGGGCTGGAGAGATGCCTCAGTGGTTAAGAGCATTGGCTGCTCTTGCAGAGGACCTGGGTTCAGTTCCCAGTACCCACAAGGCAACTAAGAGCTGTCTGGAGCTTCCGTTCTAGGGGATCTGACATCCTCTTCTGGCCTCTGCAGGCACTGCAAGATGGGTGCACTCACACACATGCGGGAAATATACTCATACACATAAAATAGAAATAAAATAAAAAAATAAATGCATGTTTGCTCGCTCAACCTCTAGCCATGGATTGGACACTGCTGGTTGAAAGGGGAACACAAGAGAGCGGATCATCTACTTGGTACCTGTTTTCTGAGCAAAACAATCCTTTGTGTTTTAAGAATGTTTTCTTACAGCTGGTTATGGTAGTGCAGGCCTTTAATCCCAGCACTTGGGAGGCAGAGGCAGGTAGATATTTGGGAGTTTGAGGCCAGTCTGGTCTACACAGAGAGTTTTAGGACAGCTGGGGCTACAGGAAACCATCTCAAAAAACAAGAGGGGAAAAAAAGAATGTTTTATTAGTTTATAATAGATGGACGATAAAGCAAAATACATTGCATACTAAACTGAAGGTGGGGAGATTCAAGTGTGGATTCTGTAATGAAATGCTTCTTCTAATCATGTGGTCATTAAATTTTTTTTTAATTTCAAAAATAATAATTCTTCAAAACATAAAAATTTGCTCCTTAATAATTGGATGTGAAGATCATTATCACTGAAATCTACCTGATGACTTTATACCCATGCTCAGAGGCCAAGGAGCTCAGAAAGTAACCAACTGTGACTAGTAATAATCTGATATAGATTAGAAATGCATGTGCAAACATCTTAATGTCAATTGCATTAAAAATGAAGTTTTCTGTATGAAACTCTATTTTAATAATGAAACTGAGATCTTTTTTAAAGGTTAACACCTCATTTAACTTTATGTCTTATAGGGTTTATACTGAGTACATTATTGTATAACTGTAATAATTCACCTGTAAACCTAAAATTGTACAGTCAATTCTGAAAGAGATGCATCCTAGCTCAGAAAATTGTTATTGAATATGTCAATGCTGATATAATGAAATGCTTCTTCTAAGTATGTGATTATTAAATAAATAAATTTTAAAAATTATGTGTAAATAAAAGTAATGAAAGACTGATTGCATTCTGAAAAAACAAAAAAGAATGTTTTGTTACAGCTGGTTATGGTGGAGCACTCCTTTAATCCCAACACTTGGGAAGCAGAGGCAGGTGGTTTTTTGTGAGTTTGAGGCCAGCCTGGTCTACACAAAGAGTTTTAGGACAGCGGGAGCCTCAGGAAACAATCTGTAAACCATCTTTTCAAAAACCAGAGGGGAAAAAAAAAAGTTTTCTTAGTTTATAATAGCTGGATGATAAAGCAAAATATATTGTATACTAAATTGAAGAAAGCTGGGGAGATTGAAGTGGGGTACAGATTTATACCCGCACCATAAAGCATGACTCATGCTTAGTGGAGAGATCGGGTGGCCATAAGACCACTTATGTGAAGCCACAGGCAGGGAGGGGAGCTTTTCCTCTGGGAACTCAGCTCCTGGTATCCCCAGATCACAGGATTCTCAGCTCACTTGATCATCCCAGCTCAGAGTATTCCTGACTCACTGTATTCCCAGCTCAAGGTGTTCCAGTTCATGGCAACCCCCATGACTGATGTGGGGTATTTTCAACTCACCATATTCTGGAGTTATTCACAAACTGCGGATTTCCTGGTGCATGGTATTCCCAACTCACCTTATTCTCAAGTCACGATGTTCCCGGCTCATGATATTCCCATGTCGCAGCATTCTGAGGTCCTGGTATTCTGAGCTGCTGGTATTCACCTGTCACCTAATTCTCCACTCATGATGCTCCCAAGTCAAGGTAATCACAGCGCACAGAATTCCCAACTCACCTTTTTCTCAGTTCACAATGTTCCTAGTTCAAGATACTCCCAGCTCCTGGTATTCCCATGACCCAGGATTCTGAGATCCTGGTGTTCCCAGCACATGATATTCCTAACTCATGGTATCCCTAGCTCGGAACAGTCTCAGCTCCTGGTATTCCCATCTCATGCAATTCCTAGCTCAAGGCATTCCCAGCTCATGGTATTACTAGCTCATAATGTCATTCACAACACATGGTATTCCCAACCCACCTTGTTCTCTGCTCAGGATACTCTTAACTCCTGGTTATTTCCAGCTCCAGGTGTTCCCAATTCTGGTGTTCTCAGCTCCTGGTGTTCCCATCTTATGTATTCCCAGCTCACAATGTTCCCAGCTCATGCACTTGACAGCTCTCCTGGATCACAGCATTCCTAGCTCCTGGTTTTCTCAGCTCACATTAGGGATTCCTAACACCTTATTCTCAGCTCACGATGTTCCCAGGTCACTGCATTCCCAACTCTCCTTATCCACATCTCACGGCACTTGGATCCAACAGTATTCCAGCTCACAGGCTTCCCAGCTCCTGGTCTGCATATCACCTAATTCCCTGCTCGTGATGCTCCAGGTCAAGGTAATCAGAGGCATGAATTCCCAGCTCACCTTATTCACAGCTCATTGTACTCCTGGCTCTGGGAGTTTCCAGCTCCCTGTGCACCCAGCTCCTGCTGCGCCCAGCTCCTAGTAGTCCCATCTCCCACTATTCCCAGCTCAGGCCATTCCCATCTCTTTGTATTCTAAACCCACAGTATTCCTAGCTCAGGACATCTCAGCTGATATTAACTATTCCCAACTCCCCTTATTCTTAGCTCACCATGTTCCCAACCCATGCTATTCCTAACTCACCCTATTTATAGTTCATGACATTCCTATCTCATGATTTTCCAGATCCCAGTATTCCTAGATCATGACATTCCCAGGTCCTGGTATTTCCAGCTCTGATGCTGCCAGTCCTGGTTTTCCCATGTCCTGCTATTCCCATCTCATGGTACTCCTGCCTTTTGGTATTCTACTCTCCTGGTATTCCCGGCTCATGATAACCCCGGTTCCAGGTATTCCCTCATCACAGTATTCCCAACCCACCTTACTCTCAACTCAGGATGTTCCCAGCTCCAGTATTCTGAACTCCTGGCATTCCCACCTCTCTGTATCTCAGCTGATGCTGAGTATTCCCAGCTCACCTTATTCTCAGCTCAGGGTGTTCCCAGCTGCCCATATTACCAACTCTCCTTATTTGAAACTCATGGCATTCTCAGTTCATGCTATTCCTCACTCTTGGTATTCCTGGATCCCAGTATTCTGAGCTCCTGGTATTATCAGTTCATGGTAGTCCCCGCTCACAGCATTTCCAGCTCACAATATTCCCAGTTCCTGGTATTCAGAGCTCTCGTTATTCACAGCTCAAAGTATCCCTGAGCTCTAGTATTCAAAGTTTAAAATATCCAAAGTTCATGACACTCCTGGCTCTTGATATTCCTGGCTCATGGCAGTCCCGGCTCTTGGGATTTCAGGCTCATGGCATTCCCAGCTCTTGGTATTCCTGGCTCATGGCAGTCCCAGCTCTTGGTATTCCTGGCTCATGGTATTCCCAGCTCTTGTTATTTCCAGCTCACAATATTCCCACATCCTGGTTATCCCATCTCCTGCTATTCCCATCTCAAGGTATTCCCAGCTCATAGTATTTCTCATGCCATTCCCAACTCACCTTATTCTCAGCCCGTAATGTTCCCATCTCATGATATTCCTAATTCCTGGTATTCTTTGATCAAATTATTCCCAGGTATGCTGAACTCGTGGTATTCCCATCACTTCCTATTCTAAGCTCACGCTATTCCCAGCTTCTGGTTATCTCTAACTTATGTTAAGCATTCCCAACTCCCTTTATTCTCAGCTCACCTGTTCCCAGCTCAGAGTATTCCCAACTCACCCTATGTGCAGCTCGTGTTGTTCCTACCTTGTTGAATTCCCAGTTCATGATCTTCCTGTTCTTGGTATGCCCAGATCCCAGTATTCTGAGCTCCTCGTGTTTTCAGCCCCTGGGTGTTCGAGCTCAGAGTATCTCCAGCTCCTGCTACGCCCAGCTAATGGCATTCCCGGCTCATCACAATCCTAGAACATGGCATTTTCAGCTCTCAGTATTCAGAGCTCCTGGTGTTCCCAGCACAGAGTATCTCCAGCTCCTGGTGTTCCCAGCTCATGACAATCCTAGAACACGGCATTTCCAGCTCTCAGTATTCAGAGCTCCTGATATGACCAGGTCAAGCTGCTTACGACTTGTGGTATTCTCAGATCCTAGTATTCCTACCTCCTGTTCTTTCCAGCTGTTGATGATCCTATCTCATGACACTCCTAGCTCCCAGGATTTCCAGCTCCCAGTATTCCCAGCTCCTGGTAATCCTATCTCTTGGTATTCTAAGCTTATGACATTCCTAGCTCATGCTGTTTCCAGATAATCATGTTCCCTGCACATGGTATTCTCAGTGCATGGAATTCCCAACTCACCTTATTCTCAACTCAGGAAGTTCCCAGATCATGGTATTTCCAGCTCATAATTCTCTCTGATGCTGT